GATGCAGCAGAGAGACAGTACAGACTACTTAATTTGGCAAAAGTAGCCTCCTCTGGAGTCAAGGAGGCTCCAGGAACTGTGTTCAGCCAAGAGTCAAAGAAGTCTACTCAGGCTGGAGTGGACCCAATCCTTAATTTCCATACTTGTGCTCTGCTGCTGGCTAAAATTAAATGGCCATATCCACATTAATGCAGTGGCAAAGTGGAAACTTATCACATTGTCTTAAAACAGAAATGTGTTTATATAGTCAAAATGTTACAGAGTTGGTTTTAGTAACATCAGAGGTGCCATTATGTAATCATGATTTAGTGAGTAATATCTAGAGACCCAGAGAACTTCAGAATAACTTGTTTCAATATTAATATTTTAGTTTAGCATTTTCAGAATTACGATCTTAACTTCATGCCAATCATTTATTTTCACTGTTAATTTCAAAATAAACACTTCCATGAATAACTGCCTCTATTACTATGGTAAAATAGTCACTATCATTTATAAGGCTAAATGGAAAGAACGTTGGCTAATTGAACCAATATAATTTTACAGGATAGAAGAAAAACAGTAGCTCACGATTAAGCTGCACAGAAACACTTTAAATAAACAAATGACTGTTATTTTACAATCCTAGTATCACATAATTGTTTCCATCATTGAAATTAAGTAATACAAAAAAACTACCACAAGATAAAAGATAGAAGTCTCAGTGAAAATGTCTCAATATATTGATGATGTCTTGGGGTTGCTGAGAATGCTATTATTGATTTCATTAAAAAAGCAACTTTCAAATAATGTTTTTCCTAGAAATATTTTAATAAAATCATTTTTGGGGCTCTACTGAGTACTATAGATTGAAAGTTTGTGTTCCCCCAAATTCATTTTTGAAATCCTAACCCCCAGGATGACGGTATTAGGAGACAGAAACGTTGGGAGGTGATTTGGCACTAGAACCCTTACAAAAAGACTTCAGAAAGATCCCTTGCCCTGTCCACCATGTAAGGCTACGGGGAAGATGGTGGTCTCTGAGGAAGTAGTTCCTCACCAGACACTGAATCTACTGGTGCCATGATCTTAGACTTCCCAGTTCCTAGAACTGTGAGAAATAAATGTTGTTTATAAGCCATGCAGTCTCTAATATTTTGGTTTTTTCTTGTTAATTTATTCTTATTTAACAGTCTAATTGTCACCATTCTTGTTGTCAATGGCTTGACGAAATTGTTAGATTCTCTGGTTCACAGAGAAGTTCTGTTCTAACATTAAAATGTAGTATGTATAGAGAACTTATACACACTGTTTTCATATCTAGAAAATGACATTTATTTTCAAATTAGTATTTATGAATGAAAATGTTTTTCTAAGTATATAGGAATACTTGAAATAATTTGTATCTGAATATGTATATAATTTTTATTTATAAAATATATAATATATATTTTTCATTATATATTAAATACAATACTTATACATGTTTAGTATGTATTTTATTTTTATTAAAGTATTTATTTATAGTATAGACTATTTATATAACTATATCTCAGCATACATTTTCACAGTAAATATATTTTTCTGTATATTTAAAAAATTTAACCCTACCTTTTATTTTGTTTCTTTGGAGCATAATTTATCACGTTTGTTTTTTCCTAGTTAGGATTTAATAAGAGAGCACTATGTGCATATGTAGGTGTTATTATTTCCATTTCAGAGATGTCAACACTGAGACCAGGGAGGTTAATTATCTTGCCCCGAATTTCACAGCTGGCAGGTGGGCAAAGTAGAGTCAGGTTTTATACCAGATCTGACTGACTCCAAGCATTCCAGGATCCATTCTACCACGCCCTTCCCATTCAATTATGGCAAAAGCTCTATATACTCTTTCAAGTCCTTCAAAAGTTCTTTAATTCATTTGCACTCACCATTGCACAAGTGACTTATCCCTTTCTAGTGCCTGCATATTATAGGTTCCTCCCTCCTCCATAAGAAGTGCTGCTTTTAACTGATGTGGATAATGATGTTCTAGGCTAGGGGAAGCTAATCCCAAGGAGAAATGACCTTACAAACTCTGAGGTGCCAGTAAATCCTCAATGTGAATCCTGACAAAATACAGAGAGGGAGATTTGGTTCATGACATCTGATTTTTTACACCAATTAGGTAAAAGATCAAGATAACAGTAAATTACAATCATCTGGTTGTAAGACCCCTCCAAAAGACAGATTCTGATCAGATATATAGAAAATGTAACTTTTTGGGAAGCCTGGGTGGCTCAGTCAGTTAAGCGTCCGACTTCGGCTCAGGTCATGATCTCGTGGTCCGTTAGTTCGAGCCCCACGTCAGGCTCTGTGCTGCCAGCTCAGAGCCTGGAGCCTGCTTCAGATTCTGTGTCTCCCTCTCTCTCTGACCCTCCCCCGTTCATGCTCTGTCTCTCTCTGTCTCAAAAATAAATAAACATTAAAAAAAATTTAAAAAAAAGAAAAGAAAAAGAAAATGTAACTTTTTGAAACATATCTTCTTTAGTTTGAAAAATGCATGATGGAATTCAGCTACTCTAGCCTTTGATTCTTGCAAAGAATCAAAGAACTGCTAGATTATAGGATGTAAAGAGAAAATTATAACTATGAGTGTTTCTACTCTGTGAAGGTGGCCAAGATCTGGACTGACCCGCCTCAATAATTGTGATATGACCTGTTTGATTCATATCGATAGAAATTTTCTGAGTAAAGCAGGGTCAAAGATTAAAGTCTATCAATCATCGTTGGTCTTCACTTTAGATTACCATTCTGCCTGTATGTATTTGAAATGGTCATAAATAGATATTATACTTAGGGAAAATGCTCTCAGATTGATGGATGTGATATAGAGGAGAGTTATGAAAAACTAGTGAACAAATATGACTAATAATCTTAACTTTTATGTGAAATATCACAATATTGTTTCTCTTCACATCTGAGAGGACCTTGTGGTGGGTTTTTTTTTTTTTTTTCTTCTTACACAGGAGAGTCACTGAATTTTGCTAATAAAAGTGATCACCTCCTCTACTTGGTCATTTGCCAGATGAGAAAATTGAACCCTAAAGAGGGTGCCTTCACCCATGTTAACAAGGCTAATCCCTTGACCTTCTGATCCTTGTTAAAAGGATTCATGTCACTTATGGAGAAAAAAACAAAAAACACAAAAAACCAGCAGTTAACCCCAGCCCATGGTATTTTTCCTAGAACTCAATGACAACAGAAAGAAAAGACATTATCCATTTTCAAAATTTAATTCTAGGGGATTTTTTTTTCATGCCAGATTGAATAAATTCAGTTTATTATATGGTTGCAGGGAGGAATTAAGATATATCTGGTAAGTTAGATACGTTGTTATGATTATTTTATTTTTATAAGTTTGCTTTAAAAATACGTGTATGCTAATGATACATGATGGGTAATTAACTTTATAAAGAAGATCATAGTAGGAATACAATTACTAAATATTAATGTTGGAATAAGCATCTTCTCTAATATAGTAAGTCAAAATGCTTTTTTTTTTTTTTTTTAATTTTTTTTCAACGTTTATTTATTTTTGGGACAGAGAGAGACAGAGCATGAACGGGGGAGGGGCAGAGAGAGAGGGAGACACAGAATCGGAAACAGGGTCCAGGCTCTGAGCCATCAGCCCAGAGCCTGACGCGGGGCTCGAACTCACGGACCGCGAGATCGTGACCTGGCTGAAGTCGGACGCTTAACCGATTGCGCCACCCAGGCGCCCCAAAATGCTTTAAGATATAGTGATTTCATGGGTACGATACAGTTTCTAAAATTATTTCACTTGACTTTTCTTCCATAATTTGATTTCTTTCTTTTTCCTGGCCAATTAAGTTTTTTACCTTGCTGATATGCCAAGTCCCCAAACTTTGTATTTATACAGCAAACTATGCTAAGTAAAGTGTTAGATAAATATTAGTATTCTTATTATTGAGTAAATATTGTTCTTATTAGGAATGATAGAATTTAAAAAAAATTCTTAGCACTTCATTTACATCTGTTCTACTTCCCTCAGAGTACTCCGTCTTGACAACTTTAGAGAGTCCTTCTGAGGCAATTATCAGGAAAAGAATTATAAGTTGTTTTCTGAAAATACTGAGGTGTGTGCCTTAAAAAAAGAAAGTCCATAATGAACACTTAGAGTTTCTGAGCTCTTTCCTCCTAAGCCCCTGAAAAGTATTAAAAGACAGGGATTGGGAAAAGGGAATGCTGTACATTAAGTTTGATAATGGCACAAGCATTTCTGTCTAAATTCAGCATAATCATTACAGGTTAAGCAAATCATAATTAAGTGCAAAAGCCTATTCCCACATTTGGACAATTTTTGTGAATTTTAAAAACACAGGGGAAAAATCCATATTTTAAATAGTTAGAGAGCAGCCCCTTATCCTTACAGTTCCATCTTCATGAACTAATTTCTACGATTAGAGTATTGTTTCTGTGAGCATACTTCCTAGAAGAGAAAGGATTTTTAAAAATCCTTTCAAAATAAACTACCAGGAAGTAAAATTAAGGTCTTTTTCTTTTCCTAGCATGAAAAAGGAGAATCCTAGTTGTCCAGACTGGTTGGAAATAGAGCTGTATAACTCAATTCTCCAGTGTATTTAAAAATATACAGAAAGCTCTCTGTTGAATTTTTTAAGATGAGCTCTTACACATTAAGATTGCATACCATGCAAGTGAATTAAATAAAAGACTGGAGACAAAATAATCAAATCAGGAAAACACAAACCCACTTTCATTCTGAACAATTAATCAAAATATTCTTGATACGATATTATTTTTCTGTCTTCCATTTTAGCACTGAAAACAAAATTCTGTGGCATCCAAATTCCTAAACTTGGCATAGTTAGTTAAGCTCTATCATCAGAAGATACACGTGCTGTTAATTTACAGGAAAACAAACACAGAAATGTCCCTCTACCACCCAGGCACCTTGGGGTTATTTACATTTTGAAGTGATCACAGAAAGAATAGATTACCTGACACACAGAGGTAATACCTGTCCTGGACGGAGAACTCTATTTCAATAAACTCGTACAGATTCTGGGAGAGTGGCTTAAACAGTTTCTTCTCCAAGTCCTCCTTTACCAATGATGACATTGCCTCCAGTTCCACTTGGCCTGATGTCTTGGCTCGAGATCACCCTTTCTCTCCTTTTGCTCCCTAGATTTCTTGTTTGGGTTTGCTCCTCCCAGCCCTCGCCCTTTAACTTCTCATTCCTGGCCAGACCCAGGCTCCGCAGAACAGTCTATGCGGTCAGACCCCTCACTGCGGTGCGTGCCCAACGACAGCGGCAGCGGCAGCTGCAGCCAAAATCCAGCAGCAACACTCGCCCCACCGTCCCTCCTCAGCATCCAGGCTGAAGTAGGCTGCTCTCTGGAGCTCTCCTGTGGTTTGCTGATGGGGAACACATTTCTGAACACCAGCAGCTGTACTTGTGGAGTCCCTTGGTTATTCTCGTCTAGTAGCCTTTTCCCTTTCACATCACTCTGCAGAGGAAGACCACTGCTTCAGCTTGATTCCATTATATAAATCAGCTGTCTGGCCCTATTGATTGGGATCATCTTCCATTAAGAACTTTGCTGTCATCGGCAGGAGACAAAGCATCAGTGCTTGCTCCTGACACTTCCAACAAGTCCCTTGCCCTCCTCTCCCCTCCTGCAATTCATCCAGACCTTTGCTTCCGCGAGAAAGTCAGCACCAACTCCTGGGTCCAAATTATTTTTTCAATGGGCTCACTTTAATGTTGTTAATTCTCCTACTCACAAAGAAAAATGTACTAGGTATCTGCCGGGACAAAGCTTTATGTTTGTTTCTTGGGAAGGTGGATTTTCTGTCCCCAAGGAGCTCATAATCTAATTGAGATGAGTACACCAAATAATTATCATGAATGTTTAAAAGTGATAAATGGCACAGAAGAAAAAGGAACATAGAAAAGATATCTGTACCTGGAAAGTATCAGAGGAAGTGCTATGGGAGAAGATCTGGAGCTTGAAGGATGAGAGAAAAGTATTGAAGTGTAGGAGGGGAAGGAGCCTATTCCACAGACTGGCCACTGTGAGCCACAGCCCTGCATCAGAATGCTCAGGGTGTGTTTGGGAGGACGAGAAGTAGTCCAGTTTTCCTGAGAGGTAGCATGTATGAAAGTAAAAGACAAGGCTGGAAAGACAGATCGAGGCCACATCAGGAAGGGCCTTGATTAATCCTTTGGACTTTATTCTGTAGAAATAGCCTGTGAAGATTTTTTTTTAGACATTCATTCGTTCAACAAATATTTTTCAAGTGTTGATATTATGCCAGGATCTGTTCTAGGAACTGGGAATATACAATGAAAAAAATAGGTCATTTCCTTGCTCCTGTAGAGCTTAGAGGGGTAGTTGAAATATAAAGAAATAAAGCAGTGACCATCCAGGGTACACTCAGCTGCAAGTAACAGAACACATGACATGGAGTTACAAGTAGGAAAGACTTCAAAAAATCTCTCATAATAAGAAGCCTGCAAGTAAGCAGGTTCAAGGCAAGCTCAGTGCTTATAGATGAGGGTCCCAAGTGCTTTGTGTCCTTCTAATTCTCAGCTGTTGGCTTTTTGTCCTTAGGCTGCTGTTGTTCAGCTCCAAGAACAGGAAGAAAGGGGGTCAGGGGTTGGTAGCTCTTCTTGATTTCTCTTTATGTCAGAAGCAACTCTCAAAAACCAGACAGAGAGTTCCCTTTACATCTTGATGTCCATAGCTGGGTCACCTGGCCATCCTTAGCAAGCAAGTATTTGTCATTTTTGGTTCCTATTATGGGAAAGGGGAGTTTCTAACAAGGAAGAAGAGTCTGGGAATGACTGTAAGCATGCAGTGAATAGTGTTCCATGGCTTCCATATTTGCTGCTCTAAAGAAAAATTAATGACATGGCTGTGGCTAGGCTGAATTGTGGGATCTTGGGTGAGACACTTGTCTCTCTGAGCTTCTGTTTTCCCATCTGAAGAACGATCTCTAGGGTCCTTTCCTACTTTAATATCTCCTATTCTGTTTGTGATTTTGGAGTCTAGTAAAACACTTTGGGTAGAGTACTGAAGAACTAGTACTATGTTTTTAGATATAGAAATGGAGAAGAGGGCATGAATATAGAGACATAAGATATATTTGGATGATAATATCAATAAGCTGTGGCACCTAATTGGATGTGAAAGGTGGAAGGTAGAGTCAATAGGATACAACTACTTTCCACTTCCACCTAGAGAATGAGATAATGGGCCCACATCACAGAAGGGGACTTTCAGAGAAGACATTATTTCCCTCTTTTGCACTTGAAAAATTATTTCCTGGGTGTTTTAGTCCCCTTATGGAGAACAAAGACAATAACAAAAAACAAAATAAAAAAAAAACCAAAAAACTGGTATGACAGGGGCGCCTGGGTGGCGCAGTCGGTTAAGCGTCCGACTTCAGCCAGGTCACGATCTCGCCGTCCGTGGGTTCGAGCCCCGCGTCGGGCTCTGGGCTGATGGCTCGGAGCCTGGAGCATGTTTCCGATTCTGTGTCTCCCTCTCTCTCTGCCCCTCCTCCGTTCATGCTCTGTTTCTCTCTGTCCCCCAAAAAATAAATAAACGTTGAAAAAAAAATTAAAAAAAAAACTGGTATGACAATCAGAACACTCATCAACAGCATTGTCATTGAAATTCAATTAGATATTTATTTATTTATTTATGTGATTTTTAAAAATGTTTTTCTCTCCTGCTAGACTGTAAGTTTTATGAGTGCAGGAACCATGTTCTTCCTGCTTGCCATACATCCAGGATATGTGATATGCAGTGTCTAGCATGTTATAGACATCCTTGCATTTATTTATTCACTCAATTTATTTGTAAATATTTACTAAAAGAACAAATAATTGAATCAGTCTTTTGTTTAAAATTTTTTAACATTTATTCATTTTTGAGAGAGAGAGACAGAGTGCAAGCAGAGGAGGGGCAGAGAGAGAGAGGGACACAGAATCTGAAGCAGGCTCCAGGCTCTATGCTGTCAGCACAGAGCCCGACACAGGGCTTGAACCCACAAACTATGAGATCACGACTTGAGCTGAAGTCAGATTCTTAACCAACTGAGCCATCCAGGTGGCCCAGTTGCCCCTTCCTTCCTTCCTTCCTTCCTTCCTTCCTTCCTTCCTTCTTTCCTTCCTTCCTTTTTTGCCTAGCTGGTTTTGCAGTTATACATCCTCATAGCTGGAATAGACAGCTATTAGTTTTACCAGTGATTTATCCTGTGTCAATATCCCTTTGTTCTTGTTGCCATGAATGCATGGACATTAGCTGTGAGAGGCTCAACTGCACTTCTGAAGGAAATACTACAACTTTCTCTGAAAGTTCTTAAAAAAAGAGTGGCTATGTTTTCCAGCATGGTTTTGAGTAATGTTGACATTAGAGGTTCAGGAACTGACATAGTGACCTTTTAGTTCAAAACTGAAATGTTTGCTATCAGTAAGTGTGTTCAGGAATGATTTGCCATTGGTGTGAATATTCTTATTGTATTGATTTGACAGTCATAGGGAAAAATTCATACTAAAGCGCTAATAAATGTCTTTTTTAAGGTTCTAAATCATCCTATAAGACCAATCTATCAAAACATTATCTAAGTTATAAAGAATCAGAGGATTCAACCTTCAAAGAATTACAAATGGCAATTCATCGACAATGGAAATAAGGAAAATCTTTAAAGACCCTAAGTTCTTTGTCAGTTCAGAGGAATAGAGTACTAAACTTTTGGAAACTAGCATCAACAGAAGATGTTATAGAAAAGTAACAAATACAACCCCAAATGTGTTCTTTATGATATTTAAGGGAGCTATAATGGGTGCCTGGCTGCCTTAGTTGGTAGAGCATGTGACTCTTGATCTCAGGGTTATGAGTTCAAGTCTCACGTTGGTCATAGGGATTACTTAAAAAAAATTTTTTTTTTAGATATTTAAAAGAGCTGGGGCGGGGCGCCTGGGTGGCGCAGTCGGTTAAGTGTCTGACTTCAGCCAGGTCACGATCTCGCGGTCCGTGAGTTTGAGCCCCGCGTCAGGCTCTGGGCTGATGGCTCAGAGCCTGGAGCCTGTTTCTGATTCTGTGTCCCCCTCTCTCTCTGCCCCTCCCCTCCCCCGTTCATGCTCTGTCTCTCTCTGTCCCAAAAATAAATAAACGTTGAAAAAAAAAAATTAAAAAATAAAATAAAATAAAATAAAAGAGCTGGGGCATCTGGGTGGTTCAGTCGGTTAAGGGTTCGACTTCGGCTCAGGTCATGACCTCACAGTTTGTGAGTTCAGACCCTGTGGGCCTGCCTCAGATTCTGTGTCTCCCTCTCTCTCTGCCCCTCCCCTACTCATGCTCTGTCTCTCTCTCAAAAAGACATAAACATTAAAAAATAATTTTTAAAGAAATATTAATAGAGCTACAAAAACATTCTTTCCTCATGGCCAAAGACTATTCTAGTCTGTAAATTTATTTTCTGAAATGCTATGACTGAAATTGTCAATGGGGATGATGATGAAGAAACCATTGGGAAAAATGGCATTTTTCTGGGAACACTTATTTTTTTTTAACTCCAATATCTCCTAAATATATTTCCTACAGAGAAGGAATTTTTAGTAGCTACTGTTTCACTAATGAGGCCCAGCCAGTCCACCATCCTGGGTAAAGTAATGAAGCTTATGTCTATATAGAGATAGCCCAGTTGGTGTACAGGGAGACAGATTACTCAGAAGAAAAGACCTTCTTGCATATAAGACTCACAGAGGAACAGAAGCCTGGTTTCTACACGACCCACAACTAGAAGAGTGGACTATAAAATCTAATCTGTAAATAGTCCAGATATATTTTATTCTTACTATTTTTTTCCCAGAAACTAAAGAACTATTTTGCTTTCAATTTTCAGTTTTGGAATTTTGCTTTAATCACTTTCTAACCTAGTCTTTAAAATTATACATTCCCTTGCAACCATAGAATTATTTATTTGCTTAGAATAGCTAGGAGTAAGTGTTCTACCTGTCTACCTGCCCATAAGTTACAGGATAATAATGTGCACAAATGATAATATTATTCTCCCTTTCGCACATTCACAAATTATAGGAGTGTCGGTTTGCACAGAGCTCAGGGCTCAAGTAGTTAATTGGCCCTCTGGAATTACAGAGTTTGCCGAGTTGGGAGTTTGTTTGCCAAAGTTCTGCTCTTCTCAAGGCTGCTCTCTAAGTACACAATGAAGTAGTGGTAAACACCGTGAATACAGGCTGGGCCCCAACTCTGTGTCTTCTTTCTAGACCCATATTTCAAATCTCTTTTGCTTAAGCACAAGGCTGTGGTTGTGTATGCCCTCATA